TACAGAATTAATAGTTTCATTAGGTTATTTAAGCGTTTTACTAAAATTATAAACAAATCGTTAAAAATAATTGCATTTTCTTCACAAATTCAAGCATTTAAAAATAAATCGATAGAGAATTTTAAATTGTAGTTATTTTTTTAATATTAAACAAAAATCGTATGAAATATTAGAATTAACAACTTTGACAAGATGCGAGCTTTGTGATTGGTTGCATTAGGTGGCCATTTTTTGGAGAAGCGTTGTTCATGCATTATCCGATTGGTTAAAATTGGCCATTACAGAATTAATAGTTTTATTCAATTGTTGAAGCATTTCAGTTAACTGAAAAAGATCAAAATTTAATAATTGTAGTCTGATACTCATATATTCAAACCTAATTTGACATTAATCTGACAATTAAGCAAATTTTCGAACTTCCTGATTGGTCGCATTTTGCTGAAGCGTCGTTTTTGCGTTATCCGATTGGTCACAAGCGGCAGCCATTACAGAATGAATAGTTTCATTAGGTTATTTAAGCATTTTACTAAAATTATAAACAAATCCTTAAAAATAATTGCATTTTCTTCACAAATTTTAGCATTTAAAAATAAATCGATTAAAATAATAGAAAATTTTAAATAAAATTTGACGTTAATAGTTAAAATTAACAACTTTGACAAGATGCGAGCTTTGTGATTGGTTGCATTCGGTGGCCATTTTTGGGAAAGCGTTATCCGATTGGTTAAAATTGGCCATTACAGAATTAATAGTTTTATTCAATTATTGAAGCATTTTAATAAATAATTCTAAATAAAACGGTAATTTTTAACTCACGTTTCTCAGAGATTCGAGCGTCGACTGAAAATGATCAAAATTTAATAATTGTAGTCTGGTAATGCCATGATGCTCATCCTAAGGCAGCTAGGATTCTAAGTGTTTACTAAATGCCTTCGAATAAGCCGCACTGCAAATTGCAACGAACACAAATACAAATTGTAAAATTGATGGTTTCGATGAGAATCGTTGATTCTACCATGAATGTAAATAAATTCATCAACGAGCAGCTACTTGATATTCTATATATAATTGCACAGTAGATGCTGCTGATGAACCCTCTCACAGTATGGTTGTTGATACTCTTCAATTCGCACTTTTTTTTGTTGTTGTTATTGTTGTTATGGTAACTTCTTGACTCTTTGCGTTGGAGCAGCAATTAATAAATGGTTTCCACGGAGATACGTTACAACTATTTATGCACGTCCATTATCGCAACCGGAAGTGGGTGGAGAGGGAGAGGACGCTCCGCTATCCCGGGTTCTCTTTTTTCTTTTTTTTTTTTCTCGTATGTTTTCTGTTTATATCGTGCGATCCGTTTCCTCGTTTACTCATGTTCTTCCTCCTTCTTTGTTTTCTTTTCGAATTTCCCTGTTTGCTCGATCCACTTTCCGCATTTTTCTCTCTTAATCTTCTGACACATCAATTCAATCAAGAAACACATCATATTCTAAATTCAATAATGAAACGTCACTTAAAATATTAATCAAGCAATCTCGTTAATTCATATATGACAGCTGTCAAAAGAAATTTTGTTGGATAGTTGATTTCTATAAAAATAGCCGTTTGACAGCTGTCAGAACAAATTGATTTACCTTATTGACGTTTGACAGCTGTCAATGAATAAGTGATTTTTGTTTTAAATTTAATCTAAATCTGCTTTGCAATTTATTATTTATAAAAAAAGAAAAAAAAAACATCGATTCAATAATAAAAAACGTTACATAAAATATTAATCAAGCAATCTCGTTAATACAAATATGACAGCTGTCAAAAGAAATTTTGTTGGATAGCTGTCAGAACTAATTGCTTTACCTTATTGACTTTTGACAGCTGTCAATAAATAAGTGTTTTATTTCAAATTTAAGCTAAAGAACAAATGAATAATAAATATTTATCAGAAAACGATTAAAATGTATCAAGTAAAGGAAAAGAAACGAAAAAAAAATAATTGGCGGTTTGCGGTGGTTTTTCCTTAATTGTTGTTTCTTTCTTTTAAAATTGAGTTCTTGCGTGAGCTTGATGATCGACGACGCCGGTACAGCAGAGAACGAAACCAGAAAACGGGAAGTTGATAATTTCGATAAGAGTTCGAGAACGCAGCAGGCAGGAAGCAAGCAGAACCGCAATGTGTTTCCAACAGATTATTCTTTCCCGAATGCGAACGATTCCCACAAAAAAGAAAATAGAATTCGATTTGTTTACGGGTGAAAATATTCTATGTTATTTTTTTTTGGTAAACCCTTCGAGATTCGAACTTTTCGCGTTTCAAGCTCGAGGCTGCAGAACCCGCCGGACTCGAGTTATTAAATATAGCAGATCTGTTCTCTTTTTTTTTAATTTTTGTTTTTTTTTTGTTGCGGGGAAACACTTTTGAAAAGTTCCGCTTCCATTGTTTGCCGATGGTATTGTGATTTGAAATCGATACCACTTGACTCGCTGGAGACTCCTCCACCTTTAGTAGCCCCAAACAGAACGGATTTACAATATAACAATAAAAAAATATATATTTTTCTACAAAATCCATTTGGATTATTACTAGTTCATTCTCTAAATCAACTGTCTAATAACACCTGTCAAAACTAATTGTCATATAATGACATGATTTAGTCAAAACATTGTTAGGTTATAAACATTTGACAGATCTCAAAGTACAGTTACTTGACTAAAACTGTTGTTTGACAGCTGTCAAAAATAGGTTGACATAAATAGTCAATAGTTAATAGTTAATTAAATAATTAATACGGATGAAACGTTTTAGTGCAGCAATTCATAATTGTAAACTAATTGTCATAAAATGACATGATTTAGTCAAAACATTGTTAGGTTATAAACATTTGACAGATCTCAAGGTACAATTACTTGACTGTCAATCGATGATTGACTAAAGTAGTTGTTTGACAGCTGTCAAAAATAAATGCGTTAGGTTGACAGGAATAGTTGTGACAAATGATATGACTTGATGATTATTTAAGTTATAATCTTTATATGGTTTCACTTAATTAATACGGATGAAACGTTTTAGTGCAGCAATTCATAATTGTAAACTAATTGTTATAAAATGACATGATTTAGTCAAAACATTGTTATGTTATAAACATTTGACAGATCTCAAAGTACAGTTACTTGACTGTCAAT